TTTCTCTACAAAATAAATAAGCAGATTAGAAAATAGTGTCAATTGCCTTGAAAGCTTTCCATAATCCCAATATCAGCAACATTAGCTTAAACCTAAACTGTTTCCTAATAGCCTCAAAGAGTTAAAGGTTCCAACAAATACCCAACCTTTTTCTAGGAATTAATTTACTTGCTGGGAGAATTTGATTATTGTATTATTTTATTTTTTTAATACCATTCCAGGTGTCCGTGGGCCAGAACAAAAGAAGAAATGACGTACTTACCTGGAAAGCCTTACTGAGCATATGTTCTCCTTCCTTAGATCCAAGCAAATTTACTATTATTTGTTTACCATATAAACTCTTAAGTGTTCTAAAATGCCTATTAAAGAAAGAAAGGAAATAAGCATATGTCAAATGATAAGCCTAATTTTTTTCCAATAAACAAGAATCCATTATTAAACAGAATCTATATGGCAGTATTTCAAACTCACAGAATTGGTAAAATTGGGTAAAAATTCATTGTATATGGTCTCAAAACTCCGAATTTATGAAAAATCATTAATGCAATTTCCTCTCTGACTTATGGGTGCTGGGACTCCCACCTATGCTGGAGCCGTGGAGGCCTCCAGCTCCCTGCCCACTAGGTGAGGCTGGCACCAGATAAGACAGACACGAGCCTTCAGCTTGGCTAGGAAAGCAGTAAGGGCAGATGGCAAAGGCTGCACCTGACGTGTGAGGACATCACATACTCCGTGAGCATTCAGAGGGACCTCCTTACTAACTCTAGCTGCTTTCATAAAAACAGGCCCCAATATAAATTTTTTTTTCTCTCCAGCTTCCAATCATTCCAAAAGCTATGTAGAGCAATGACATACAAAGGAAATATAACATGAGCCATATCTATAACGTTAAACTTTCAAGAAGATACATTTTAAAAGGTAAAAAGAAACAGATGAAATTAAATATATTTTATTTAACTCAACGTATCTAAAATATCATTTCAACATGTATTCAATATAAAACAAATACCGCTGGCCCTTGAACAACGTGGGTTTGAACTGTGCAAGTCCACTTACATGTGAATTTTTTTCAGACAAACAAGGATCAAAAATACAGTATTCTCAGCATGCAAAATCCACGAATATGAAGGGCTGACTTGAAGGCCGACTTTTCATATTCACAGGTTCTGCAGAGCCATCTGCAAGACTTGAGTATGCACCGATTCTGGTATGGGGGGAGGTGTTTCCTGGAACCAATCCCCCATGTACACCAAGGGATAAATATACTAACGCGGTATCTTACTTTTTTTTTTTTTTTTGCATTGTCTCTGAAATCTCCTGTGCATTTTATGTACTTACAGCATATCTCAGTTAGGACTAGTCACATTTCAGGTACTTTGTAGCTATGTGTGGTTAGTGGCTACTCCACTGGACGACACCCAGAGAGGAAGTTTTAAGGCCAAGAGATCAAGACGCACACTTCTAGCACCATCACAAAACACAATAATGGTGCCACAGTCTTCCAATTAAAAGGAATTTTACCTCAAGCCAAAATTGTAATGAATAAGTAAATATAACTAGTGTCACTACTTAGCCATATCAAAACTTACAGGACTATATAAAAATAATCAGTCTTACCTGTCAAAAGCAGGTGCATTAGCTTCAAATCCCCTTGACATACGGACACGATGAGATCCCACCTTAGATAAGAAAAATATATTTAATCATACCA